AGTCTGAGCCCGCGCTCCCTCGAGGTGTTGCCAGACGTCTGCCCCTCGTTGCTCTGGATGGAGGTCTGGCTCCTCCTGGGTGGGGTCCTCCTGAGCTCTCAGCGGCCCCTCCCTGGACCTGCACTGGGCCCCTTACCTCAGGGCCTCAAGGGTGCACCAGCTGCTCCTTGTGATGGGAACCTCCATGACTCCTGCCATGGCCTTCCTGCCTCCAGCCAGAGACAGGTCTGTTCCAGGTGGGATTGAATTGGGCCCATCACCCACCCCGGGATAATCTCCCTTGAGGCCCGTAAACATGGGTGCATCAGTGAAGTCTCTTTGGCATGTTACATGTGGCCTGTACAGGACCCAGGATTTTAGGGGGGCATATTCAGGAGGTCATTCATCTCCCTGTCACAGGGTGGCCCTTGGGAGTGTGTGACAGTGGAGGTGTCTGTTGTATCAAGGCTGTGGAGGACACTGGGGAGCCTTCTGCTGAGTTAGAGGAACTGAAAGGCCTTAGTAGGAACAGCTGCTGTCATCCCCGGGGAGAATTCGGAACAGGCAGGGTCCGTGTGCTGTCCTGTATGTTCACAGCGCACGTGGGAATGGAGCACTTGAAGTGTAGGCAGCACCGCGAGAGCTGCAATCCCAGGGCAGATACACCGCAGAACTGGAAGATTTGAAAAAGGCCAAAACACCTCAAATATTTATATTGTGAGTATATGTGATATTTTTGGGTTTTTTTTAGAGAAAGATTTTTGCTATGGGGTGCATGTATTCACTGGAGAGACAGAGAGAAAGAAAGAAATTGCCTTCCAGGGGGGATGGCCATGTCACAATTTCTTTTCCTCCATTCTCCTCTCAGGATTTTTGGCAAGCAAGCACACATGCCCAGAGCGTATTTTCTAAGCTGCCAGATCCAGGACTCAAACTGCGGTCTACTACATCATCTGCTGGCCCCATAGGATACGTGAAATTATTATACTCAGCATAATCAAGTCAAGTGAGGTACCTCCGAAGTCGTTTTTCTTTGTTGTTGTTGGTTTTTTTTTTTTTTAGTTTTGTT